CTATTATTATTTATCACTTTATGAAGAGAACAGGAAAGTTAGTGTGATGTGTAGCTTTTTCTTTTACATTTAATGTCTGATTTCTCCAACATTTAGCACGTTTCTATTGTTACGTTTCCAAAAGACACTACAAGCTCCAATAAAAGAAAGAAGATTTATAAATTTTCCTCAACGTATGTCTCATTCATCATGATGCATGATGAACAAATAATTCAGTAAATGGTTCTGCAGTGTGAAAGCTACAACAGTGACACAGAGTTGGAATTCAATTAATTTGGAAAATGTGAGAGTACAGTGAAAAGTGGATAACCTACAACAGCACAATGACAGGATCCTTTAGGCCAGTATTGATTTAATTTGGTTCCACTTTGATTCTGTGCTGTCTCCCAGAAAAGCAAAGCAGCCTTGGGCAGGAAAAAAGATCAGTCAGTTTACTGTCAGGACGAACGACCTTTAAAGCAACAGTTGCGCTCACTTTGTACAGATGCATGAATCAATATCAGTGATGAGTTGGTACGTGAGGAAGAAATCTTTGCTTAGCTAACAGTAAAATAAAAGGTTTGGTGTCTTAATGCAGCAAAGTAAACTTGTGGCTCTGTATCATTTAAAAAAATGCACAAGGAATTTGTCTTACTTTCCTCACCAGTATATTTTTTGTCTTTGCAACAGGTATAAGCAGTGGGTTGATACCTGCTCAGAGATCTTTGGAGGGCTGGATATCTGTGCTGTCAAGGCCATCTGTGGCAAGGACGGGAATGACTATATTATTGAGGTGAGAATAAATCTGAAATTTAAGGAGATTTAAAATGGATTAGAATGCTGATAAGGTAGTAAGCCTCCACATTTATATATATTTTATACTCTCCCGGCTTTAGTTTTGAAACCTAACATGCTGACATCAGCCTGTAGGAGCTTTTTTCATTTTATATTTATGTGTAGCATACACAAGTGGTTATAAATAAAATGTCCTCTGTTCTAATATTAAACTTCCTGAAAATAAAGCATATTGTGCAACTATATTGATATAGGAAGTGTCTAAAATGCTAAAGTCCAGCTACTCACAGTTGTGTCAGATAGAAGGTCAGTGACCAGCCTGCTTACATCAAGACACAAGGAAACCTTGATGGGTTCAGGGATAATGACAAAAATGGGGCAAAGGTTTAAAGTCTGGGCAAAAAAACTGTAACTGATGATAATAAAAATGGTTTAGGTTTAGAGCACGGCTTCTTTGTCCACAGAACTGAGCTGGATGTATTTTTAAAAGTCACTTAATGGCTTCATTCCGGATCCAAGAAAACACAGAGTTTTATTCCAAATCTTGATTGTTAGCCATGAAATGGCTGGACCAGTGGTGTTGCAAATATGTTTAGAGTCAATTTTCTGTTTAAAAGTCAATAAACTAGCTTGTAATTGGTCGTGGAGCAGCTGTTAAAACAGAAGAACTAATCCAGTGGTGCTGGCCAGCATGTGAGTGGGCAGGAGCTCCAAACACATTTAACTTGAAGAATGTTGTAAGCACTACTGAGCAAGAGATGAGACAAAGGAAATGAACTGGTCTGGACAAGAGAATTTTACAGAAGGCACTATAGCCTGTCGCTGTGAAAAAGACAGTTAAATGTTAAAGGCAGTGTGAATGTCAGAATGAAACATTTTTCAGAAGTGGAATAAGACCTCATTAGAGGACTCAAACTCCATGTGTTCCAGATTTCTCTACTGAATCTCTAAATCTCTGAATACCGTCTTATTCCTCTGCATATGAAGGATTTGAGTTTGTAGGATAGCCCTCTTAATGCAGCTCTGTCTTCATCCCCCTGTGTCCTAAACTCCTCCAACAAGACAAACATGGGTTGCATTTAGGTCACCAGCAGCAGGACTTGAACTCCAGCCTCGTGGGTCAACACTTGGAGCCGCTCTTTCGTGTCCTATTTCCCATAGAGAACTTTGTTGCTTTTTACATTTCCAGAAGCCTGAAACTGGGACCAGTGGGAAATGAAAAGGTCCGGTTTTCTCTGTGTCTACTTGAATTACAAAATAATTCTGGGTTAATATTGAGTTTTTGCTCAGTGACCTGCAAAACACTACTGGCTACTGTAGCTTTTCAGAAATATTGTTTTTGCTATTACTTCAGACATTACCATAGCACTAAAGTTGTACATGTGATTTATGGATTACTGTATTTTAATAAACATGCAAATTTCCCCACTGTAGGATCAATAAAGTCTTATCTTATCTCGTCTCGTCTTTAATAATTTGCATACATTTCTATATATTTAGTGCTTTGTTGATCTATAAAATAAAGCCTTCCAGCAGAAACCAAAAACCTACAGTTTGACCACACATTTTAAAAATGTGTTTGTTAGTATATGGGTGTTCTTGTTTCCAGGTTGTGGGTTCATCTATGCAGCTGATTGGTGATCACCAGGCGGAGGATCGCCAACTCATTTCTGAGGTGGTGCTGACTAAGATGAACCAAGTTCTGGCCGTCAGGTCATCTAGTGCTTCCCGCTCACCTGCCCGCTCCCCTCAAGGCCAGAAACCAACAACCGTGCAACCCCAACAGGTGACAATTAAAGAGACTGTGCAGTGTTGCATATTTATCCACTGAAATTATATTTTTTAGTTTATGAAATCATACTGTATTTGAATTTTTCTTCCAGTTTGTCACCTTAATACTCTTAAAAAACCCATATATCGTTCACCACTGACTGATTCTTCTCTTTCTTTCTTTCTTTCTTTCTTTTTGTCTTAATTATTTTTCGCTTACCAGAGTGGTCCAGTTAAGGAAGGACTGGCAGATCCGAACAGGAGCTCAGGCCATCGCCCTCAACCTCAAGGTGGTCTGAACAGTGTTAAGAGCTAAAGTACTGCAGCTGTAGGCTAAAAGCACTGTCTGAACAAATCAATTAACAGATCCCACTGATGTCTTAAGAGATTTTGAAATACTCGCAAGTCAGTCCCTGCCAAAACACTGCCTTTTACAGGCACACCACCCTCTGTGACTCGCCTCCGTGTTTTGCTTAATTAGWAGCTAATGTTGGACACATTAGCTTTACACATCTTGCAACTTTCAGTTGCTAATGCTGTGGACAAGTCATAAATTGAAAATCATAAATGTTGCACTGTTTCTCAGCCATACTGTTTGATGCTTTGAATAATCAAATCAACGCAACAGAATCTGTCAATGAGACAAAATATTAGACGTACGAGTGGGCAGCTGTTGTTTTCATTTGACAGTCTTGCCAGTTGTTTTCTCCTGTGTGCTGCCTGGTAAAGACGGCCTCACATGTGCCACTCATTTTGATGGAAGAGCACATAAAGGATTTAAGCACTTCCAATCAGATCAAGAGAAGTTTGTTTTTTGTCGTGTTCTGGCTCTGATCGATGCCTGAAAGTAGCAGTGTTTTTCAGGATTATCCTGACGTCACTGCTTTTTGTTTCTCAACCTCAGTCCAGTGCTGACAGTAATGATCACAGCTGCAGTCTGTGCACAAAAACGTTGCTGCCTTTTAAAACTGTGACTGCTTTTTTTATTTCTTTAGCCTTTTTTAATCCAGTTGGATTAACAGGCAAATGTGCAGTAAGACGCACTTTGCAAGCATCTTTCGTGTGACTGCAGCTGTTGCTCTAACGTGGTGATGTTTGTGCTCATCATAGTTTGAAGTAAACGTGCCTACTAAAATCAGTAGAAAGTGCTAAATTCACAAAGCCGAGTTGTCTTTGTCATTGCGTGTTTGCATGTTTGTTCACTGGGGTCTCTCAGTTTGCATGAATGTAGTAAACCTTTTTTTTTTACTTCCTTTAGTGTTTAATTTGATTTATTAAGCCCAGCTTTGTAAGTGTTATGGGAATTCTCAGTGGTGTGTGTTTAACTTGTGTATTATGATGTGCAAATGCTTGTGCAGTTTGATTTATTAGACTTCTCTAGTGATCAGTGAAAACATTTAAACATAGTGTGGCAGACAAAGCTTTCCTGTTTTTTAACATAGAGTAAAAATGTTCAGATTATACTTTATAGGCTTGTAAACTTCCACTGTACATCTGTTCAGTCTGAGATGAGACCAAGTGATTATTTATGCAGAATATTTTTACAAAACTACAAAAGCTGATCTAGCCATTGTAAAACCTTACAAATGTAAGGTTTCAGAGATGTTTTTGTTTCTGTTCATATCATTCGCTTGGATCCAGACCATTGAATTTGTATTGATCCAAGATTTAAACTTTTACCTGTCGTAATCAAAAAGAAATTATTTCTAACAGTTCCTTTTCAAGTCYAGATGACATATTTTTCTCAGATAAATCTCTCTCAAAAAAAGGTCTAACATCAGTCAAAAACATATTTTTAATTTTTATATATTTTAACTTTTTAAATTCTGGGTATGTGTCCAAGCAAATACTTTACTGTATATTATTTTACAAGTATGTTTGTAAAAATGCCATTTTCTTTGGTTTCTATGCGTCATGAGTCCCAAGCAACCATTGGGATCTTTAATGACAGTCAAATGTAAGACTCACAACCGTTTAGTTGCCTGACAGCAACGACTGTGTCTGCGAACATTTGGGATGACTTTTCATGAATGCCTTGTGATGAAGAAAATTGGGAAAAAAAGTTTGTAAATAAACTGTTTAACAAGCATATCACACATTTGAGAACATTTTACAAGCCATTTTCAAAGAGACTCGAGGTGTGATACGTGTCCAATCATAATCCTGCATCCAGGAAACCGCTGTCACTGGAAACTCATCCCTACCCAGTCACTTCTCACCCTGCATGTGTGACTTCTTGATTCTTTTGTGCTGCTTGTCAGATTGCTTTACTGCCAGTGTTTGAGTCACTTGAGTCGACCACCTCTTCTTTTGTTGTTTACTTTTGCTCGATTTCATCTCCCCTCCTGCCATCGCCCATTTCAGTCAGCGTTGTTACTAATGATCACACGGGCTCTTGTGCATAAAAGCAACTAACATTTGGCATGATAGGCGTGTCGCCACTCCTTTCCAGTAAATATTGATCTTCCACCCTCTGCTGGTCATTAAAGTCGAGACATTCAGAGCCTGCTTTGTCCCGGTTCTCTCTGAACAGCTGCGTTGCACTGGATTTCTATCAATGTGACGAGTCGTTATGTGAGTGTTGAATGAATGAATTACAGATGCCTGATTTTCTGACTGCTGTGCTTAAGAGGTGCAACATTTTTTTAAAGAAAATGCATAAGTATTTTCTGTTTTAGATGTCTTTTTTACATATTTTTTTGTATTTTTCCATTTCTGTATAGTTTAAATGTGGCAAAAGAGTTTAATATAACTGGCATCTATCTCAAAATCTTAGGTGCGTCGCTGAAATCACAAAGTGTGGAGATATCAGGAGAATCGGCTAAAAGAGCACCAGAATCTGTACCAAAGCCCGATCAGGCCCAGAAACCTGGTCCTGGTCAGAAACCAGCCCACGCTCAGAAACCAAGCCCAGTCCAGAAGGCCGCTTCTGTCACAAAGCCTCCTGTTCAGAGGCCCCCGCCCATGACCAGAGCCCCATCTGTGACAAAGTCCACCCAAGATTCTGCCTCCAGCTCATCCCCGTCCAAAGCTTCACCATCATCTCCAGCTAAAGCAGCAGCAGCTGCTGCAGCTCCGGGCTCTCCTCCTGCCTCTCCCGCAGCCTCTGCTGCCACCACAGAGCAGCCTAAGCCCCAAACACAAGGCTCCCCATCAGCGGCGCCTGGCAAACCTAAAGAGCTGCCCCCAAAACCCGCACCACCTGCGAAGCCCATCCCTCCCGTGCGCAGGAATTCCAAGCCACAGCTTCAGCCAAAGCCACAAACCCCACCTCCACCTAAAGCTTCGCCCAAATCCCAGCCTGCTGCCCCAGCCCAAGGCTTGGAGTCCACTCAGGCTTCGGATGCTGCCCCGGCACAGCCTCAGTCCCCGGCCAAAACAAACCAGTCCCCACCTCATGTTCAGTCTCCAGCTAAAACTAACCCCCCGGCCAAGCCAGCCTCTTCTCCTCCGAACCCTGAGCCTGCTCCAGCTGAAGCAGCCGCCACTGATGCCCCGGCTCCTGTTGAAGAACAACCCCAGCAGAAGACCCATCCTTTACTGAAGTAAGAACCATATATTATCCATGCAAGTGTTGATCATGCTAAAACAACAAAGTTGCACGATTTCCCCTCTGCCTTTGCTCCACAGTACTCTTATTCATTATAAAATCATTCTCATGCTGCTCTTTTCTCCTTTTTCACGCTCTTCCCCTTCTTTTCTTTTGGTTTTCCTATTTTGCTCCCTCAGCAAGTCCCAGTCTCTGACCAATGCCTTCAACGCCTTTAGCGACTCCTCTTTCTTCCGCGGGGTCTCGGGCTCCAGTGGCGATGGGCAAGAAGAGGCAAAGGCTGAAACCATTCGCAACCTTCGAAAGTCCTTCGCCAGCCTTTTCTCTGACTAAACTACAGCCGAATTGCAGTCAGCCCCTTATCGATGCTGGCCATCCTTTTACCAATGGCCAGATGTCGACATTGAGATTTTATGTGATCCAGTCTGAGATTAAAGTTTATGTGTTAACTGTACTTTATTCCCTACATCCCTCTTCAGCTAAACTTTCAGCTTCTGTGTGAGTAACAATGTGATGTTTAACGACAGAATAACAAGTCTGAAGGAGTTACGTCATTGATATATGATAGATTATATTATAGTAGAGTAGATCAGAATTAAAAAGAAAGCTTTATTTTCCCATAGCACATAAAATGAACTTATTCAGAAATACGTGGAGAGTGTCACATTTAAGATTACAGAAAACTTGTACATACAATATAATATAGTATATGAATATAAATATATATAACTATAAAGGGACATAAGCCAATTAAAGAAAAAAACATCCATCAGGACTTTTTAATAAGCTTTTGTCAGTGACATAACTCTTTCATTCAGTGGATTTATACAAACTTTACCTAAACAAACATTTGACATGTAACGGTTTTCCTTAACATCAGTATCGTCAGTGAGTAAAGGGGCTTGAAAAAGATTTTTGAACGGGTTTGTTTCTCTGTAACTTCAACTGTATTGTCTCTGGTGAGCTACCTACTGCCAGGCTCATCCTGCCTGGTCCCTTTTTGTCTGAAGATTCTCAAAAGTCCATCTTTTTTGTGAGGGAATTGGAACTACGTGCGTTCATCTGTGTTCACTATTTGTGCATGGCTCCTCCAAGTGGCTAAATGTGACTTTTGGAACAGATGGGAGCTCTATCAGTGTTGAGTTTTGCCCTTCGTTGCCTCTCTCTAGATGTTGTAGCCTTATTGTGAACGTGTTCGATTCACAGCTGCATTTCGTTAGCTGTAGACTTGGGTCGATCACATAACCTGGAATGCATTTGTTTACTTTGAAGTAAAGGCCAAGTTTGATTGGAACTGTTTGGGAGCAGATTGCCGCCTGACCAAATCCATTTTGTAGAGTAAATTAATGCATTTCAGGTAATTTACTCATGTCTGTAGATGTGACTGGTGATTTCTTGTTTCACCTCTTGTGTAGATCTATCAACAGTGTTGTACTTTGTTGATTACTCTCATTAAAAGACATTGAGACAGTAGTGCAATAACACCTCGACATGACTGTTGAGCGCTGTCACCATTATTTAAATATCACACATACAGGATTTTGTGCATCTGTTCATACTTTCTTCTTACATCCCCTTTAAGATTCCCTTCAATAGTAAATTTCCAGGTCGCTCTTAACCTGCAGGAAACAGCAGGAAGTCAGTGAAACAGGCTACTAAAGTGTTGGGGTTTATAACTAATCTGATTTGTGTGGATAAAGAGAATTTATTGCAATCTGGAAAACAACCTCTTCCTTCATTCTTTAAACTACAGCATTCCAAGCACATGCAGTGTGAGTAAAAAGAAAGTAATCTCAACTCGTCGTAACCCAAGTCATTGCAGCCTGTCTGCTTATCCGTCCCCAGCACTACCTTCAAAGTACATTTGAGCATAATGTATTTGTATAAGTGTCAACCCAGAAGTTTATTTTTTGTAATACATGGGTGATTTATTTTTGACGCTTCGTATTTATGGTAGTGTTTTGTATTGTGTTTTTTATTTGTAATGCAATATCGCTTTGCATGATCTGGTGACTGACGTTTTTTTTTTTCTTTTCTTTTTCTGTAAAGATACAAAAAAAGTCAATAAAGTTGTGGTTCTATCATTCCACCGATTCACCGAGATCCAAACTGATGGTTACACCTTTTGTCTGAGAGGCGTCTTCTTTAAAATCTGTTTTACAACAGTTGTATTGCGTAGCTTGCTGATGCATAATACTCTCTAATGCTTTGGTAGATTTCAAGGATCTAAACGTTTTAACAGAAAAGGTGGCTTTTATCAGCCAGGAACTCTAATGGGTCATTTCATGAGAAATGTAGGATCCAAAACACTTAAAGTGTAGACCTTAAAATGTCAGAGGTGACCTTTGTTATAAAAAACTATTTAGGTTTCACTTTTTTACACATCCAACAAACTACAAAATAACTGGACCATGCCTATAAATAAAACTAAAAAAATCAAAATGTGACTCATTTTGGACATTTATGGCAAGAATTAACTGTTCTACTATTTTTTTCTGTTTACAAGTTTCAAACTGTTTTTAATGACAACCTATTTAAAATAGGTTGTATACAATTACATATAGGCTGAACGCTTATGTATGTAAAAGATACCTCTAATACAACAAATAAACTGTTCTTGCAGTGAACCAACCAAAGCATTTTTGTGACAACAAAATCAAATGAAGGAAATTCCCTTTCTTTTATTTGTCTGCCCCCAAAGAGTTCAAAGGTCAATGACAGTCTTTGTTTGATCAGCAGGGCTTGTGGATGATGAATAAGCTGGAAAACATTTTTGTGCAACAACGAAGACAACTTCTCAGTGTTTCAGCTTTATTTTGAATAATTCAACAAAAACATGAAATGTTCACTTGCGAAAACAACAGGTCAGTTTTTGACGGCTCCACTCCTAACTCAGGGCGATGTTTGATAAATGAAAACCTACGATCTGTAGGAGGAAAGTGGTGTCAAGAAAACATTTTTCAAATGAACATGAATTATTGCAATAATATTTTTWTTTTTTTGCACCCCCCCCCCCCTTTTTTTTTTTTCATTGCAACACTGAATTTGCTTTGGACAGCCAGCAGATGGCAGTATTTATATGTGGGGACAAGGAGTTCATTTTTTCAAGTCTACATGTGGGGAAATACCTAACTTCTTTATCTTTAAAAGGAGCTTAGGTGTAGTCTGTGAATTATTTACACAACAATTATTGGACTTTTAAAGATACATAATGTTTCATTATTCTTAGAACAGTAAAACCTTGTTCTTGTTTCTTGCTAGCTAGAGATTCACATRAAAGCAGACATGTTGTTTTACTTTTCATTTGACATTTTTACCCTTTTCATTATTCACTTTAGTCTAAGGAGTGGCTTTAAAGACACAACGTGTGTAACATTTTTTCCCCCACATATATTGCTAAAATTGAGGAAAGACAAACTCACACATTTTACATGTAAAAAGGAATGTTTTCCTAATATTTTATAGTTAAACCAGTTCATAAAGTAAAGTCCAATTTAAACTCAGCAGAATATTTTTAATAATGTTTTTAAAATCATTTATTTTAAAAGAMTATAAAAACACAAAGACACATTTAAAAATCACTTTTTAAACACAATTTGTGTTGTGAAAAACAGAAGAAGCATGTGCTGCTCTCGGTTATTAGTCAGTGGAGCGCCTGGTCAGCAGACATCTGTGGCAACACTGACTGTAAGGACACGGTTGTGGGCTGCTAGCACAGCAAAGCATGACTAAACTTGGGTTTGTTTGTTTGTTTGTTTGTTTGTTTGTTTGTTTGTTTGTTTGTTTGTTTGTTTGTTTGTTTTTCTCTCTGTTCTCATCCAAACCTACGGAGGCCGCGAGGGGACATGGGAGATCTTTTTTCTTTTGCGTTCCCACGCAATATATTGCGTTACCTCGCAATATCTTTTGCACTCCCTCGCAAAAGTCGTTTATCACTGTTGTGCCTGCTGGTTTATTAACAAACTCACATGTTCACCATTAGCGAGTTAGCCTACTGCTTTAATTCAGCTTCAGAATGAACATATCACACAGCCACGCATGGAAGTATGTCATATGCCGATATTTTAACAGTGCAGTGACAGAACTTCAATGT